GTGGTTATTTATGATACAATTCAAAGTAGCTCTAATGTTGAGCTTTTTCGTATTTATTATTTTTCTTTCTCCCCAAGGAATGGTATATTTATCGATTTTCGACAATGTTGTCATTGTCATACGCCTTGTTACTTTCGTTGTTGTTAGTCGCATCAGCAAAACAAATAGGTATAGGGTTCATTTATTCCACCTAAGTGACTGATAAGTGCTGCCACATCGTGTCGTATTGTGGTACTATCTGTTTATTCAATTGGTTTGTGTACACTCTAGTGATTCTAATTCTCTCAGGAGATATAGTTGCATCAAAAATTAATAAAAATTTGCAACAAATCTACAAACTTAAAAACGATGAACATGTGGCGTACATCTGTATTTAATTCAGCTACGAAAGAAAAAAATCAAATCAAAATATTAATTATTTATTATAATAATCCATTTGAAAACAGTATTAAAAAATGCAGGCTGTTTCACGCAAACCGTTACCTAAATGTATTCAGGTTCTCATTGATAATTCAAATTTGAAAATTTGCATATTTTTCATTATCTATCGACAGAAGATATTATCATGATCGTTTCACTACCAGTTTTACCGGATGTCGATAGCAATTTAGTTATTTAAAATAGAACACTCTGTATTTTATCGCATTTTCGAAATCTACATGAAAATCTACGTCATTTGATACCACATTTCCCTATGCCCAGCATCAAGTTATTTAAGATTTTTCAACATTTATTATGTTCGACTGTTTTTCTCTGTACTGTACCTATGAGTATGACTCCATTGATCTTGGGAGTAAAATGTGGGACGGCAACAATGGAGAGAATGTTAACTCTATCAAAGTCGAAAATAGCATAGTAGATCAATCTGTACACATCGCTAATCAGTTTAATAACTTTTTCTGTAACATAGCCCAAACACTGCTTGCCAACGAGTCACCTAATTATGGACCACATCCGACCACACAGATTAAAATTAACCGACAAACACTTGTATTGCTTCCATTTACAGTTGGGAAACTGACTGCACCCATCACCTCAAAATTTAAGAACAAATTTTCGAGGGAACTACCGTCTTATAGCTTTGAGCTCCGCCTTTTCTAAAATATTGTTTTCTTGATCGTCTTCAAAGCTTTATTTCAAGACGTGATCTAATATGAAGACAACAAGGCTCTCGACTTCTGATGCCCTACATAACTTTTATGGTAACTTAGTTAGATTTAGATATACAGACAAAAGTGAATGCTCAGTAGGTATCTTTTGCGATCTTACTAGCGCATTCGACTGTGTTAATTAACATTGATAAGCTACATACATATGAAGTTGGAACAAGATAGTATCAGCGGAGTCTCTTTTTTTTTGTGCAAAAGAGAAGAGGTAGTTTCAATAACCGACACAGTAAATACCGTAAAACAAACATTTTACACAATACAAAAAAATTACAAATATTGGTGTCCCCCAAGGCTCAGTCCTGGGACCTACGCTATTCCTTCTCTACATCAACGATCTATCCACTTAGGTACCTGGGAACGGAGGTGCTGCACCTTTTTGTATGCAAACGACACAACGCTACTGCTGTCACAGAAAGATGAATCTTGTAACAAATATTTAGAACGATTAAACGTGCGGTTTAACGGCAATTTCTTTGTTCTTAATGTAAGCAAGACGAATTTTTTTCGCTTCCACTATTAGACTACTTGATACAAAAATCTTTTTTTAACTTGAATTAATTCTTTACATGTTAAATGTACATTTGTCTCTTACTTTTGACTTGTGCTATACATATTGCATATCTATGCACTGAATATACATTCTTTTCTTTATTTTTAGCGCATTTCCACAATAAAAAAATGCGCTATAGTGGCCACTTTGTCCGTCCGTCCGTCCGCTCGTTTCTAGACGCTACTAGTTCTTTACCTTAAGAGCTATTGTTCTACTTTTTTCGCTATTTGGTTCGTTATGGTGTCGAGGCTTGCACCAAGGAAGGAATTTTTTCTGTGCCGCTTACAAAAAAAGTTATTGTAAAAAAAACAAAAAACCGTTTTTTACATGTTACATAATTTTACACTTTTGTCGTTTATTAACGATCCTAGAGATCGTTTATAATTTTGTATTGCTGTCTGTCGTCTGTCTGTTGGTCTGTCCGTCTGTTCTTTTGTCTGTCGGTCCATCGACCTATCTGTCCGTGTGAACGAGAACTTTGTTTAGAAATGTCCGATCGCTTTGACATCTCCGTTAGTTATGAACTGAATTGCATGAAATTCAATATGGGCATAACTTTAGCCATATAATACGCAATGCCAAAAGTTGAGTCGAATCGATTCAAAATTTACAGTGCCCTTTTCACATCTCGACCATTTATAAATCGAATTGCAAACTTTTTTATTTATAGAAGTATTTGAATGAAATTTGATACATAGGCACTTGGAATAAAGGAAAATCAAACGCCAGTTTCAAAATCTGGTTTTGCGCATGCGCAGTGCCAACTTTTTTATTTATGGAAGAATTTAAACGAAACTTGATGCATAGGCGCTTGGAACAAAGGAAAATCTAACGTTAGTTTCAAAATTTAGATTTTCTTATTTAGAAAAGCATTGAAATGAAATTCTTCTTATAAACTGAAATTGAATTAGCACGTCAAAAATAGATTACACATTTGCAACGCTATCTTTCACATTTGTGGCCGGATTTTTACGATTTTAACAGAAGTTACATCTTACAAATGGGAAATGAATGCAAGTGGAAATGCGCTTTATGTAAATCGTTTACGATTACTTTTTAACTTGTTTATTCTACTTGAAATTTCAGTTCTTTTGATACCCACATGTCGATATCCACAATTTATGATTTTTAAGTTATTTTGACTTTAAAAAAATGGCGAATGCAGACGATACCTTGAAAACGGTTGTAGTTATGGCAACCAATTTTTACCAATGCATAGAGAAAGAATAGAGCTTTCTATTCGTGTACTGAAAGTTGCGTACGAACGCAGATCCAAATTCTAAGACTAAAAACTCAGTTTTTTTATGGCACAGTAAAGATTTGCGGATTTTGTATTTGAGAGTACTCCCCAAAAGCGCACCTGCACCACTAAAAATCAGTACCTATAGAAAAGTGGTCAAGTGGTTTATCTAAATCAGAAAATGACAAAATTATGTACTTACATTCGTTATCCTTGGCAAAATCTTGCACCTGCTAAATGGCGAACCTGTTAATAAAACAAAACCCAAACGAATACGAGGTAACAGAAACCTTCCAAATTTCAGCATAATCACAATAATAGAAAGTTTACATTAAATTGCATAATTAAACGATAGACGATCGCAAAAAAACCTTAACAAAGTATTTACGTTATCAGACTAAAATTACCCATATGCACCTAGAATTATTTAATGAAACCAAACTGTTCTTTAAAATGTTTATTTAAATTTTACCCCTACACACTCGTTCATTTCGCATTATGCAACTTCTAATTATTTTAAATCGAAAACACTCGTAAAATTTGTCACAAGAAAATCACAAAACTCCACCATAAATATTTCACCCAATATGTTGACTTTTGAATATAAAATACTAGCTCTGATGCAACTAGACCAGGATGATTGATTAGCAAGAACAGGATTTAAACTCTGAATTTAGAACTGTCGAGTCAAAAAAGAGATTTACAATCACGACTTTATGATTTACAACAATTATTTTGACAATGGGGGTTTACAGTACAGTTGAATTCCGTAGTTCTAATTTACTAAGCGTGTAACTGAAACCATAAAAAATTTTTTTGGGCAGTAAAAGTTTATTTAAAAATAGAGGCGGGTTAGCAAAAAAATAATGTACATGTGCGGTTTTAAGGGTTTATTCAAAACGATATGATTGAAGCGGGCTCTGTGACGTAATAAGCCCGACCAATCAGCTCCTAGAACCATTCAGATGACATAAAGAATTGGCAATATTGCAGGAGAATGTCATTTGTAACTTGCGTCACCTGTCACAGGCGCTTGTCACTTGTCGTTCACCCCCATTATCACCATATAATTTACTTTATTCCACATTTTAACACACCTGCCGATTACTTAGGTATTTGCATCACCTACCGTCACCTGCACACTCCAAAACACCACCTAAGGTTTTTTAAATTTTTAGACACTGAAGAAGCCGTATTAAATTCAGGCGAAATGATACTGTTTTTACAATTTTTTAATGAAAATTTTATAACAAAAATATCATAGGTGGCATTATCAGCCTTTCAAGACGTATTTGAGGTATACATAGATAGTCATCCTGCTGGTTGTTTTGAAACTTTTGCTTTTCTCCTTGTTACCAAACTTGATTTTTGGGCCTTTACTCGAGATTGGTATAATTTAATGTACCCATGTTCTTGGTTTTTGCAGTTCAGAATTTCGACCATGCAGGCCGAAATAGCTGTAATAACCGGTAGTAGCCCAAACCAAGATGACGACCAAACCTAATAGCATTAATGTAAGTTGGACTGTAGTAAAACACGATGTATGCCATTTCTGAAAAGTTACCGCACAGAAATTCACTTCTAGAGCACGGCTGCACCGAAACACCTGATTCAATAAATTCTTCAAACGCACAGAACCAAGCACAACAACACATAATACACACAAACACTACGAACAACCGAAATATGTAAAAAATTAGATGCTAAACATCAAACGCTTTTCTAAACAAACCAATGATCTAAAAATACTTCTGTTGGGAATTCCATTGCTGCAAATTCGTAATTTTGTGTGCTGATCAAAATACTGTTTACAAAGTTTTAAAATTTGATCATTATTAAAAAGAGAAACCAAAAACCACCGATTTATACAAGATTACAATTTATTATTCCCATATTCGTTTCATTCCCTAGTGGCGATCACAGTAACTATAAAATGATTTCAACGCGCCACCTTTCTGAAAAAAGTAGCTTTATCTGCTTATTTTTAGAAATTAAAAGCAACTGTCCTTTTCTAGTATCGACTTTACTACGGTTACAGTAATAGGATTTGGTGGTGTTATACCTGAATCTTTATGAGATGCTCATGACAAAAACTCAAAGGTAAAAATTCGGCACTAACCTGTAAGCTGGGGTGGCATCCGAGGTCCAGAAGCATTTTCACGACACCGATATGTCCCTTATTGACTCCAATATGCAGAGCTGTTTGTCTTCTCTTATTCCGAGCGTTTAAATCGGCACCAGCGTGAGCTAACAATTGCATAACAGAGGGTTCATCTCCGAAAGCGGCATGATGTACGGCACGATCGCCATCTTTATCCTCAATTTCAACGTCGGCGCTATAACGCAATAGCACAGTAATAACTTCCAAGTGTCCGTTCTGACTGGCAGCTTGTAAGGCGGTGTGACCGGCAAAGACGCCGTTGACATCGGGGCCTATACCCGCACCGGCGGTATTGCTCTGCTTGAGAACTTCGTCAACCTTCTGTGAGTCGCCGTTGGCGGCGGACTTCACCAGTTCCTCGTTTACGTCACCCGAGACGTGAGTTTCAAACAGCTTCTTGAGTAGCGCACTAAGTCGTTCGCCACTTGTCGTTCCGTGCATCGTCCCATCTTTGCTGGCAACTTTTGTCACTGCCAGCGGATTGTACGTCCAGGTCGTATTGCAAACTTCCACCTTTAAGTCGTTGTCATTGTATATTTGCTGAATATGTCCAATTTTGCCTAGAGTCTGAAAGAGATAAATTATTGTGAGTCTTAAATACACACAATTGTGAATCTAAAGAGATGAGGGTTGTTATATTAATTACGTCATGAAATAGTCTTGTTCTGTTTGCTTGTTGTATGTCATTGTAATATACAGGCTGATTCAATTTCAAGGGCCACCATGGAGATCTCTAAGCTAAGAGATAGGTAGGTAGGTAGTTTAAATTTGGCACAGTTGCGTATTGTGATACTTAACACAATACCATATTAGTATATTTAGTTATTGTGCTTTCTTAGATTATTTAATTGTCCTATAATTGGAATTTATTCTGCTGGGCAATAAATCATATTATTATTATTATTATTATTATTACCATGTTGAAATCGAAAAATTACCTGTCCGCATGGGAATGGGACCTTTAAGCCGGTCTCGTAATGTATAGCTTGGTCCGAATATTGTAAACAAAACGCTGTAATCTTGGATATGTCAAAAACATAAGAACCAAATTATAGCAAATAGGAAAAAGTCATTATCCTGTGAAAGTATAGTCTTCTGTTTGTTTTATTTTTTGTCAGTCATCTTAATACGAAGGAGTAAAAAAGCCACATAGAGATTTTATTTTGTATTATTCTGAATTCAGACTTTAAAGTTAAAGATGCGCACTGTCTCAGTGGGCGACTAGTGGCGCGGACTTCAGTTACTCATAACGCCTTTATCAACAATTAAAAAAAAACAAATTACACATTTTTTAATATTAAAAATCTTGTATGAACACAGTTACCTAATCAAAAATAATATACAACATAATAAACTAGGCCAGATATGATACAAAGTCCCGCCATAACTCTACGCTTCTCGTGGCTGCTGATGTGGTCGTGGGGCACTGCTTCAAATCAGCAGCTAATTTGTGGCAATGCCATCTGCTGTCATAATATAATAGGCTTCGTAACGAACAATGCCCAATTGTTGAAATCAAAGACAAAATGCAAACTGCAGTTTGAATGGCATAAGTTCCCAATTGATCGCCCTTTACATTTTTGATGCATCATCAATTAGATCTCAAAAGTGAATTATATCCAAATAAGGGGGGGGGGGGGAGTTCGACATGCTTGCCATTGGCAGTGTCATGTCATGACGTGGCGTGTGTCCCTTAAACCATATTTTAAAACAGTGCAAATACATCAACCCACACTTTCGTAGAATGGCGAGGCGTGGCATGTTGTGGGGTGGTGTGGCATACTTTGTCGCAAGTGTGTTTCTACCTTTAGTAAAGTGCGGGTTAGTTAGTTTGCGATTTTAGCGATTATATGACTGGTCTACAAAACAAATGGTATGTTTCTATTTAAAAAACCAAGATGGCGCCAACTTCCGGTATGTCCGGAATCCAAAATTTGTAATTTATTACATGAAAAATTGCAAAAATTCCTTAAAAATCAAACAAAATTCTTGGGGTCATTGATCATTGTTAACCTTGAAAATGATGAAAAAGAGTAAAGTACAAAATAATCAAAATATAAGTCGCTACGCGCTAACAATTTTATTTTACATTTTTATCGCTATTGCTTGTAAAATATACACCGCATGCACCTTGTATTGTCATTAATGTTTCTCTAGAAAGGACTATAAAGCACCTAAAAAATTCTGGAAAGGGTCCAGACGACTTTAGGAGGATGTTTGAATTGCAGGCTCCCATATGCACTCCCCACGGCACTAAGGAGTGCCTAGAAAGCACTGGACAGACAACAAAATGGTCTGAAAAGCCTTCTAAGACTCCGATAAACTTTCTGGACTATTATACTAATTAAAGCTTATGCTCTTCTCTAGGCGATCCTATTAATAAAGCTCTGAAAAAGGTATGGAAGACCCATAAAAGGTCCCAAAAAGCAGAGGTGAAGGGTCTATACCAGGGGTCGGCAACCTGCGGCTCAGTATGCGGCTCTTTTGATATCTAAAGAAATTAGTTCATTTGTTCGAAATTCGCCTTTTTAATTAATCTTATTTGTTTACGAAATCAAAAGTACACTTGCAGCAAATAATTATGTAATTTGTGACACTTGTTTACTTTCAGGTATTCTTTTGTTTTTTTATTATAGCAGCCTACTCCTATGTATAAACACAGGGCACCCCTTATAAACATTGAAGAAAACACAAAAGACAATCGAATAGCGAAATAAAATAGTGGTAGTTCCATTTAAAAAAGAATAGTTATAGCACTTTGAACAAATGGCATTGAAACAAGTAAAACTATGTAGGATGTTCTATTTAAAAAGATCAGTATTTTTGACATGGTAAAAATAGAACACCCTGTACATTAAAAAATAATTTCTGTAGATCCGCAACCACCAATATTTTTTACCAGGTATCAGCTATGACCCTATACCCTGTATATAGCCAAATACTATAATATTGAATCAAAAATTTTTTGTGACTAAAAACTGGGAAATTTTGTAAATTGTAATTTTTGGCTCTTCTGTTTCATTAGGTTGCCGACCCCTGGTCTACACTCCTCTTTATAAGCAACAGATTAATTGCCCACTTTGAAAAGCGGTAGCACGTTCTATAAAAGACTCAATGTACAAATTTGAACATTAGTGTCGGCGAAAGTACAAATCTCTATGTGACTCCCCCCCTAAGCCTTCGTATCATAAAAGTATGTAAGGGTTAAGTCTAAAAACAACAATACCACTTACAGGAGCCATTCCATCCGCCCATTCCCCGTGGCCTCGTTGTAACATTTTGATGCGTTCCAATTCAGAACAGATTTGCACGACGTCGCCAACGGCAAACTGCTGCTGTGGCGTCTCATTGAAACCTTCAGTCGACGAAGGTGTGGCCACTTTTGTTAGCACTGCAGGATTAAAAGTCCAACGATTTCCGCTACTGTAAGCGACGACAATGTCATGATCCTCATCAATACCGACAACCGCTCCCGTGTTACTCAGACATTCAACCATTCCGTCGGTCCAACCGCCGTGACCGTGCTGTAGAGACTGCACAATTTCCAGATCCAGATCGACGTTTACTTGGTCACCGATTTTCAAACCAGGTGGACCGGATCTTCCAGCCCCGTGTTCGCCCAGGCAAGGTAAATGATCACGGTAAACAGTCTGTCCTTTTGCGTCGTTAACCACCTTTAAATCTGCCATTCCTTCAAAACCGACGCGATACAGGTTCTTGGACGCATTATCCCAGACTACGTACGCCGCAGATCTGGGACTGGCAGCCGACCAGTCTTGAATCTCTTGCACTTTGCCTCGCCTACCGTTACCGCCGTCTTGATCTTCCCACTGCCAATCGACGCCTCTAACAACCCGAGCTCCGGGAAATATTCCACGTACGGCAATCTTCTTACTCTTTCGTCTTGTTTCAAGAAAGACCCGCTCGCTGCCAGGTGTTGTAATTCTATAAAAGCGATGCCTTAAATGATGTTTATCGCCATGGTAACAAATCGAGCATAAATCGTAATTGTTGCATTCGGCACATTTCCATCGTATGCCGAAAATTGGCTGCTGTCGACATGTATCACACATCGTGCCCTCGTGCTTAACACCTGTCGGTGCGCTGTCAAGGATTCGCAGATCGTACTGGCCCGAACAGCGATAGTTTGCTGCCGTACCGTTGTCCCACACTACAACCACCTCGTCCGGAGATTCAAAATTGCGTACCGTACCGACGTGCCCCTCGCCGCCGTCCTAAAATTACCCTTACAGTCCCGAAAAGCAATAATTTCGACCTAACCTGTTTGCCCCATTTCCAATCTGGCCCCCTAATTACTCGTGCGCCGACACCTTCCATAATCCCCCTCGCTGTTCTCGGCGCTCCGCTTGTGCCTCCAATTGCGTTAGCCATTTCCATTTCGGTTCGTGAAAATTTTTCTCAAAATTTTTGGTAGAAAGTTTATTTTGGTTTGTTCGAAATGGTCGGGCATCCTCGGACGCACTCGTCATTCGTGCGTTCGGCTGTAACAAAGATGGCGATTTGATTTGAATCAAATTGCGGCACATTTTATTCAAATTTTACCGATTTCCAGTAACGCACCCGAACAATATAGCATTCGGTACAAACTACGCATTTTGATTAATGGATACTTCGCAAAATATTCATGTTTTCATTTAGTTTACTTACAAAAAACGAATCTGGAAACTGAGCTACTTTCAAATGTGACGCCGTCAGAAGAAGCCATGGCACAAAAGGACTCAATTTAAACCAGTGCTGCCACACTTGTATTAGAAAAAAAATAAATATCACCTTATTATACAGGGTGTAATAATAATAATAATAATAATAATAATTTATTTACTCCTATATTAATTACTCCTATGAATAACACAAACATCACTACAACAGACATCATTCAAACTATTAATCACTTACATAACTGGAAAAGTCCAGGCATTGATAACATTCACAACTTTTGGTGGAAATATTTTACCTACACTCACTCTTACCTTGCGCAACAATTTACTGAACTTCTTAATTCACCAGATCGCACTCCTGCATTCTTTACACAAGGTATCACTTACATGCTCCCAAAAGACAACAATACACAAGACCCATCTAAATATAGACCAATTACATGCCTTCCTACAATATACAAAATCCTTACATCATGCATTACAAACAAAATATACCAACACTGTACTGATAACAACATTTTATACGAAGAACAAAAAGGGTGTACCAAGTGTTCCAGAGGCTGTAAGGAGCAACTCATTATAGATTCTGTAATACTTGAACAATCCAGACATAACAAACGAAACATACACACTGCATACATTGATTACAAAAAAGCATTCGATTCAGTACCACACTCTTGGTTACAACAAGTACTCTCAATATACAAAGTCAGCAACAATATTACACAATTCCTCAATTACATAATGTCATGTTGGAACACTACGTTAACACTTACACTAAACGACACAAAACTTATTACTGACCCAATACAAATTAAAAGAGGCATTTTTCAAGGCGATTCTTTAAGTCCGCTTTGGTTTTGTCTTGCTCTTAATCCACTTTCATATTTGTTAAACACTACTAACTTTGGGTACAATATTAAGCACAACCACGAAATACATCACAACATTACACACCTGTTTTACATGGACGATCTTAAATTATACTCTTCCACAAGCATAAAACTTAATCACCTTCTACACATTACCGAAACATTCTCAGGTGACATACAAATGGACTTTGGAATTGATAAATGTAAAACACAACACATCACAGCTGGTAAAAGACAACTTTTAGATTATGAGCTAGAACAGGGTAATTTAATAAATTCCATGGACGAGAATGAAACTTATAAGTATCTTGGTTTTCAGCAAAATACACATATTAAACATACGAGTATAAAACAAACACTTATCACACAATACCTACAAAGAGTACGCAGTATACTTAAAACAAAATTACACGGTAGAAATACAATCAAAGCTATTAACACTTATGCCATACCAGTGCTTACATACTCTTTCGGGATTATACGTTGGACAAATACAGATTTAGAACAAATACAGAGAAACACACGTACACTATTAACAAAACACCATATACATCACCCTCACTCCTCCACTATACGACTTTACCTTCCTCGTTCGGAAGGAGGTAGAGGACTTACAGATATAAAACTATTACACCAAACACAAATACACAATTTACGACAATACTTTTATAACAAATCAGATACTTCAGTCTTACACAAAACAGTAACATATGCAGACAAATCTTACACACCACTTAACCTACACGAAACTAATGTACTCCCACCCACATCCAAACTTACATACATCACAAATAACATACAGACATGGAACCAAAAGCCTTTACATGGACGATTTCCACAAGAGGTTGGCCAGGATTGTGTTGACTCTATAGCAACGCACAGTTGGTTGTCTGAATGTGATGTCTTCCCGGAGACTGAGGGTTTCATGTTAGCAATACAAGACCAGGTCATTAACACACGCAACTATAAAAAACACATACATAAAGATAAAACAGTGACAAATGATTCTTGTCGACTTTGTTCACAAACATCAGAAACAATCCAACATATAATATCGGCATGCACACGACTTGCACAAACTGAATACAAACATCGACACGATCAGGTAGCTAAAATCATACATCAAAAATTAGCACTTAAACACAATCTCATAACAGATACGACACCATACTACAAATACACGCCACAGATCATACTCGAAAACAACACACACAAATTATATTGGGACAGGACACTACTCACAGACAAAACTATCCACAATAATAGACCAGACATTACACTTATAGATAAAACACAAAAATCCATTTGTATTATAGACATTGCCATCCCCAACACTAACAACTTAACTAAAACACATGCAGAAAAACACCGCAAATACACCGATATAGCTATCGAGCTTAAGACGCAATGGAGAATGAAATCTACTGTTATAGTTCCCATTATTCTTAGTGCTACTGGAGTTATACCAAAGACAATACACCACAATTTACAACTATTAGGTTTAGACAAAAACACATACAAACATTTACAAAAAGCAGTCATTATCAACACATGCCATATTGTTCGTAAATTTCTAAACATAACACAAGATACTACATACAGAAATGATCCACAACGTATACATGTAAACAACAGTACTCGCTCACAACACGGTACACAACATACTGTAATATCTCCACCTCTAACCCAAACAAACACACAAATACAACTTACCGAACAAACAAGTACAACAAATGATACAACATATACTACAATCAGAGATTCACCTCTGAAGCAAACCACATTATCACCACCCATTAGTATTCAACCCAGACGCAAAAGCCTAAACAGCACTTTAGACTCACAACATGACACACAACATACTGTAATATTTCCAAACTTAACTCCACCAACCACACAAACACAACTTCCTGAACAAACAAACGCAATAAATACAAGTAACGCAACACGCACTACAAAGACGCCCTCACCCACACGGCCTAGCACAGCTAAAAAACACAATACTCTTTCTTCTCAGAAACACACCACGTTATCACAAACACAACCCACTCGTACTCAACCCAAACGCAACAACCTTAACAGCACTACAGGCTCACAAAATACTGTAATGTCTCCACCAATAACCCATGCAACAACAGAAATACAACTTCAAGAACAAAGAAACACCATAAATACAAGTAACGCAACATGCACTACAAAGACAGGTCCATCCAATAAAGTTACACGCCCTAGCACATTTAAAAAACACAAAACTCCTTCTTCACAGAAACACACCACATTTTCACAACCCACTCGTATTCAACCGAAACGCAAAAACCTTAACAGAACTACAGGCTCACAACATACTAAAATATCTCCACCAAAAACCCAAGCAACCTCTCAAATACAACCTCAAGAACAAAGAAACATCATAAATACAAGTAACGCAACATGCACTACAAAGACAGGTCCACCCAATAAAGTTACACGCCCTAGCACAATTAAAAAACACATAACTCCTTCTTCACCGAAGCACACCACGTTATCACAACCCACTCGTATTCAACCCAAACGCAGAAACCTATACAGCACTACTAGCTCACAAAATACTGTAATATCTCCATCAATAACCCAAGCAACCTCACAAATACAACCTCAAGAACAAAGAAACAACATAAACACAAGTAACGCAACATGTACTACAAAGACAGGTCCATCCAATAAAGTTACACGCCCTAGCACAGTTAAAAAACACAATACTCCTTCTTCTCAGAAACAACCCACTCGTATACAACCGAAACGCAAAAACCTTAACAGCACCACAGGCTCACAAAATACTGCAATATCTCCACAAAAACCCAAGCAACCTCACAAATACGACCTCAGGAACAAAGAAACACCATAAATACAATTAAAAAACACAAAACTCCTTCTTCACAGAAGCACATCACGTTATCACAACCCACTCGTATTCAACCCAAACGCAAAGCCAAAGAAACACTTACACAATAAACTCCATTTAATAAAATTACAGGAATTATTATAATGATTTTTTGTTTTGTTTTCCTCTTTCCTGATAGCGTTGGCTATTGTGCCCATCAATAGGTATGTTGGTAAGTACGAATTACATTATCCCTAGATGTCCAATGTACGTGTGTGATTTTTTTATTTTATTTTTTATTTTTTTTTTTATTTTTTTTTTATTTTTTATTTTTTTTTTTAATGACCCTACATAACTTCACCAGACACAGACACAGACACTAATCGTTACTTGATTTTAATCCGTGCGATTAGTTAACCAGGCTAGACCTGAGTTCTCACAAGAAACACCGACAATAATAATAATGTTTATTGTGAAAAACACAAATGGTAGGAGTTCAGCCAAAGCTGTTATTCCACTCCACCAGCAAGTACAGATACATTAAACTAACTTAATTTTAAGTGCAATATAAAAGAAAGAAGATAAACTATAATAACAGAAAGATAACTTACAAATAATGTTAAATAGATGTAAATGAAATAGTTAAGTATAATATCGTTGAGTCAAAGTTATTCAATGGTACAATTCAATCATTTGCGGTTTCAGATTATTTTTAAAAAAATTCTTACTCTTAATGTCTCTCCCTTGAATATATTTATTTAACAAAGTGGGCGCTACTATTGAGTAGCTACATTCATATTTTGAAGTCCTGTGGGCTGGAATATTGTACAAATGTTTGAACCTTGTATTCACGCTATGCAAATCAGATCGCAAAATCAACTGGCTGTATAAGTAACCTGGACTTTTATTTACAAGTAGATTATATAAAAACCTAACGCATTGTAAACAAAACATTTCTTCCATTTTTAAGATTGAGTTTTTGTAATAATATGGCGTAACATGTGCACTATAGTTAATACTAAAAGAGTAACGTAAACAAGTGTTTTGTAACATTTGAATTTTGTTCCTATACACCTTTGTAAGAAAACTGTAATATACAATGCTACAGTAATTGAAGTTACTCATAACTAGGCTTGTGGCTAAAGACCATTTCAATGAAGACGACAACACCTTTTTAAATTTATAAATATATTTAAACTTCGCAAAAGATACCTGCAACATTTTAGATACGTGTTTTTCAAAAT